ACGTAGACATGTTTGCCTCAATGCCTCACAGCATAGTTAGCTTTCCACAATTGCCGTCACCAATAACTCTAAAATTTTCATTTTTAAGGCAAAACTACTGCAGCACACCAACGTGGATTTAACCATATCATAATCAAAAGCTTTTGAACGATCTCTAAAACAACCAGTAGCGAGTTGGCGATCATATCTTAAAGGTACACAATATCAACAAAATTCTACCAAAAGGGAAAGTATATGATTAGTCACCAAACATAGTTTGGAACGTTAACATTTAGAGACTTCAGGGATATAATTTATTCAAGGAAGGTTCACTGTTGGAGTAGAGGTAGTTTGAAGTAAATGGTCGAATGTCATTATGTGAACTATGACATTGTGTTCATGTGAAGTTTTCTACGAAGGATTATACCTGCAAATCTTCTACTTCAGTGGAAAAAATAAGATATCATTTGTTGCACCTGTGTATCTGATAGCAAACCAACTAAACTCAGTGAACAAGCAAAATATCACAAAGAGAAAGAAATGGACTTTTTTGTATCTTTCTAATGGAATACACCAGTAGAAGTTCCAGTACAAAGAACAAGTAAAAAAGAAGAATAGAAGCAGTAGGTCCAGCGACCCTCAACTTACCTAGATACGTGCCAAGAAAATATTCAGGCATAATCATTCGAGTAAAGCATCTCTGTACTTTTCTTGATCAAGTAAGAATAGTGAACTGCTCTGCAATAGTATCCGCCCTCCTCCAAAATAAAGTTAATTGCTTCAAAAGACTAAAACATAGAAAATGGTGTTTTAAGGAAACCAAACTTTTCTTTCTCAATACGAACTTATATATGGAACATTAAATAGTCCAATAAATACTTACTACAATCTGAGAGCATTGTCTGATGCATCAATTAGCAAATGATAAATCTTTAAATTATCTCATCTCATCCACATAATACGGAAAGAAAACGAAGAAACAGACATAGTGAAGGGAAATAGTCTGTCATCAACACAAAAGGCAAGATGGCGAGGTCCAAGAGAGAAATAAAATGACTCAACGTTAGAAGTTATTCAAAGCTTAACTTCTTGTAGAAATTAGTTATCTACATGGCAGAAACATTGAACAAGGAGATCTCTATGAGGAGGTTTATATGCAGTTACCTCAGGAATTTCACAAGCAGGGGGAGTTGAAGGTATGCAGGCTTATGAAAGCTCTCTATGATCTCAAACAAGCATCCAGGCAATGGAACATAAAAATCACTGATGCAACTTACCTTTAAATTACTTTTATCTTAGAGGGCTCCTTTGAATTGATGTTTTCTCTCGTTCATCGTATTAGACAACATAAAGATTGTCTAATTGTAACTTTAATGGTGTTTGAAAGAAATTATAACCACCCAAAGTGGTAAAATTTCTATGCTTGCCATGATCAAATTCATGTATGATTGTGGCAAAGAATTGAAAACCCGTCCCATTGTGGTAGTGAGATTAATAAGGATTCTCAAAATAATCCTTCACGTTTCCCGTTTCGCAACAAGGTACCAAATACCACGGTGGTAGAACCATTATCTTTATTCCTTAACACATATCAGTAGCACTTTCGCTTTATTTATTGATAAATTTTGTATACATTCCCCGCTTGGCAACAAGGTACAATTGTACATCTCAATCAATCAGCTATTTAAAACAAGAAAAAAAATTCTGCATATCACTAAGGCTCACCATATATTATTATTTATGTGCAATATTTTTCATTTTCGCCTTGGATATTAACAATGAGATGTAAGTATAGATCCTACGCTTTAATTAGAGATCTTGACTGTTAAATTTATATAAAGATCTGAAGTTTTTACAAAAAATCCTATAACTAAATTCTATGTTTTGCTGACTTCAAATTTTAAGTAATGATGACTTCTACAAAAATGTGTCTCTCTTTATTATTTTGATCCATTCTTTGAGCCTTTTCAAGTTGTAATAGATATTTGAAATTACTGATGTAGCCCTTTTCTGTTATTGCTGCTGGTTATTTGCATGTACTCTGGCAGGATGGGAATTCGTTTTACCTTCGCAAAGAATTTGTTGTTTTGATCNGCAGCATATGTACATAGACAGTGCCTTCAAACCATACCTAACATCACAAATTCTCTTGTCTTCAACTTTCTATGCACTTTCTTCAAGAAAAGGTTCTTCGGGCTTCAAGTTTTTGATCTGTTGAAATAACAAGTTTATGTCAGTTTAGTAACAAAGAATAAACAATTAAAGAAGAAGGTCAGATTATATTCATTAAAGGCTACACTGATCGCCATAGTGAATAATACAATCATCAGATGACATAACAGAAGACAATATTGTAGTAGAAAAACAACGCATTATAGTTCCTATGTTCGCAGGAATCACACAATCCTAGTCATACTAAAACGTGCACAACAAAATGTAATATTCTGGGAAGTAAATCCAATATAGAGCTTCATGCAATTCTACACATAATGGGGACAAGTTATTGAGATACAAAAAGCATATAGAAACTTTTGACAAAGAGTCGATAATAACTTCAAATGAAGTCTCAATGAAAACAATGAACCGACTGATCTGTACAGGACAACAAATATAAAAAGGACAACAAATTTAAAAATAAAAATAAAACGCAAAAATACATATAAAAAACAAAAAAGGCTATGCAATCAGATACAACCATGTAGAAGGATATGTCCCACAGCAGTAACAAATTTCACATAGGTAAACAGGTTATAATTTAACAGGCGTGCTCATGGAGTGGACTTGTGGAAAACATCTGAGATATTTTTTAAAATTAAAAAACATACACTTCACAATGGGTAATGGCATGAGGATAAAAAGTTGGCAGAAGATATTCCCCTAATATAATTTGGCAGTAAATACTAAAGCAACAGTGGCACAACATCACAAAAAGGATGAGAATTATCTTTTAGGAGAAAATGTGAAGATTGGGAATAGGGAAAGTCACCAATCTGCTGGGAAAATAGAAGGGGCCAGAATATGTCTAGAGGAAGAAGCTGTAGTGAAATGACTAATGAGAATATCAAAGGGATCGAAATACACCGTTAAGTCTGGATACAGAAATTTGTGCAAAAGGTAGAATACTATTATACACTAGCCTTGGTAGATAATCTGGAAGAGCAAAGCATCAGTTAAGGTAGGCAGATAACTGCACATGAGCATGTTTAACACAATCAGAATTATAAAGGACCGGAATGGTGTTGTGAGGCAAAAGCTCCACGTGTTAGAAAATGAGGAAGAAGTGAATCACCTCTTTATACACTGCCATGGGCCATAAAGTTCTCAGCTTAATACAATCTAAAAATTCAATGCAAAGACAGTCAAGGAACTACTATGTTGCAGAAGATTGCACAAAAGAAGTGGAAGACATAAATGACCATCTATGCATGGACCAATTACTTTTACTCATCCAAGAAAAGGAGAAACCCTACATTACATAGATCTGCTAAACATTTCCTTGTCTATCCTACATTTTTTAACCCTACATTACATCATTTCAGAAGACTAATTAACAGATAAAAAGATGTTACTGCTTCCATGAATAACAGTCAAAACGTTCCAAGGGGTGACTAGTGTGTACGCACACCTTACCCCTACCCTGGGGTGGAGAGGCTGTTTCCAAATAGACCTTCGGCATCCTTCCCTCCAAGAACTTCCCACCTTACTCTTGGGGAGACTCGAACTCACTACCTCTTGGTTGGAAGTGGAGGTTGCTTACCATCAGAGCAACCCCTCTTGTCAAATGCCAACAGAAGCACTAGTGAATTATTCACACCTACCTAACCTTTGGTGGGCAGTGGAAGGAAATAGCAAGTCATCGGTGGATTAGCCAAGGTATGTACAAGCTGACTCAGATACTATCATGATCAAACAATAAAAATAAAACGATGA